TCATGTTTAGGTGTCATTCAGTATTAACCATGTCTTGCATTTAATTTGGTGAATGTGCACAAGAGAAGGAGTGTTCACACTCCTCCATCAGTGTGCTCTGGCAGTCTGACAGCTGCTGAAACATGTGGCAGAGAAACAGGCGGAAACAAACTTCAGAAAACTGTCTATGAATGCAACCTGGTCAGGAGTGAGCAGCACTCAGCAGAAGGTCCCTGAACAGCTTCAGGCTCTATTCAGACCCGTTCACACCATCACAGGTGGACTCCAGTTGGGTTCCAGACTCAGCTCAACAGGATGCAGCTGAGCACAGTACAGAGCTACAGCAAAGGCTCAGTGTTGACTGATGGACAAAAAAGATTGCTGTGTATATTAAAAATTAAACCTGGATCACAGTAACATGTCCAGAGAGTAAAGAGGGCTGGACACTCTGAAGCTGCAGCACTGTAAACACAGGAGTTCATGTCATGACCTTGTTTCTGTTCCCTGCAGGTATGACCAGAACCTGTCTAGGTGAAACTCTGCGGGGATACTTTGTCCACAGGTAGCTCCTGCTCAGCTCCACATCCAGCAGGTGGAGCCCCAACCTCTTCCTCTGTCAGTGTTAAGGGGCCGGTGCTGGCTAGCTCAGCGAGCAGGTCTGTGTGGACCAAACACCAGCTGCTGCTTTTCCTCCAACAGGTTCAGACACTTGTAAACAGTGTTAACACCAACTTCAGACACAGACAATTCCTGTTCCTGCTATTTCAGAGTGAACCTCGCCAACGAGCGTCCACGTACAGCTCACATTCCACATGTCCATTCATTTGTACCACATTTTTATAAAGTGAATTTTGATCATTTCTTCCCAATGAAAAGAACATGAGGTAGAGCTCAGAGTAACAACCACAGAGTCAGTGTGCACGATAGCAGCCCTAGAAGATCTTGTGTTATCATGTTCACACAACATGTGTCATGTTGTTGTGGCCATTCGTCACGTTTCCAGCACAAACTGTCTCATGTTGGCACAAGATCGATGCAGCGTCTCAGCCCTAAGCCTGGTGGCAAATAAACACTGTGCTTTTAAGTCTGGGGTTCAGAGGAGCATAAAACTTGAACAAAGCTTTCACGTGCACCTTACTCTGCACATCCTTCCTATTGTGTCTCATATGAAAACACACCTGATTTTGTGTGTGGACACATGAGACTTCTCTTCCAGTATCTCGACTCAGTTTTACACAAAGCCTCTTTTCTGCTTTTAAACTTTGTTCTTTTTAATATTTTAAGCTGAATAAACGCCACAACGTTTGCAGCGGAAGCTTGGTGAAGGTGTTTTATCACTGCTCACTCTGCACTCGGTATTTCTGAACATCAGCCCCGTAGCGTTTAGTGTCTTGCTTTAAAACGGGTGATTTCTTTGTCAGGGAAATATTTTGGTGCTGAATAAAATCACGATGATTCATTATTTGGTGTCTGAAGCTGTTTTCTGTCAGTAAGAATGTGACTTCGTGTCAGAGTCAATCCTTCATTGATCCAGTTTGTCCAGCTTTTCCTTCAGGTTTAATGTCTTTAATTTGAAAACTCAAACAGTTCTTAGACAAGGATAGAGTTGATGTGTTTCAGGACAGTTTCCTTATCGACCTGGTTTGACCTGCAGCAGCCATGTAGACTGTGACCTCTGACAGAAGCAGGCAACAGACTGGGCCAAACAGGGAGGCGGGGAGGCGCTGACAGGTCCCTGCGGTGCCAGGTACAGTCCTGTTCACACAGGAACATGTGAAAGTCAGCTTGTAAACACAGACCTGCTGCCAGTTCATCCTAGTGGTCGACTGTAGTACTGCAGCAGAGCGCGCTCTGCAGCCCAGAGGCTTTTCTCCTTCAGACCAAGAGACGTCTGTGAAATGGTTTGACTCCACCACCATTCCACAGCTCGACAGGTTTCAATAGATTCCTATACATCAGTTGTATGTGGCTACAACAGCTAACGGTCTCCCCTGCTAAGCTAGGATACCTGAACCTGGACCTTCTCAGTACCTCTGTCTAAAACCTCAACTGTGGGCGATGCACCTGTGAACATTTCTATGTGGTGTGTGTGTGTGTGTGTGTGTGTGTGTGTGTGTATGAAAGAGAAAGAGAGACAGTTTGAGACAGAGAACACTGTGGTCATTTATAAAGAACAGGAAAACGTGTGTGAGTGGCCTGTTGCAGACAGCAGCCTGTCAGGAAATGGAGGCTGACAGGAAGGAAGTGAGGTCACTGCTGAGAAACCTCAACAAACAGGAACCCAGATCAGAGTGTGCATGCGTGCATGTGTGTGTATGTTAGTCCAACAGAGTCAGGCTCAGTTCCCCTTCAGTTATTGTCTGGCTGGGCTCTGACTGACCTGTTGTTACTGAACCTGCTGTGATGACCTTGTTTTAATGTTTATGGGTTTGCTGCCATTTTAAAAGTGGTAAGTGAAGTCAGGGAGGGAAAGAAGATGGTGTTTCAGTAGTTTAAACCTACAGACAGCTGTTACAGACTTGAGCAAGGTTTGCAACAGGAGAGAGAGTCCAAGCACAGATGGTTCACAGTTTATAGGTTATTAACTAGAGAGAAAAACTGACATCGGGTGTGGCCACAGGAAGAGCACAAGTGTATGAGCACGTAAAAGATGTGAAACAAAAGCAAGCTGAAGGCAGCACGGTCTGAGAGTGTAGGTGTGACCTTGGTCCCTCCCACCTCACAGGTACAGCCAGCCATAGGAGCCACAGCAGCACCAAGCTGCCACACAGCAAAGTGACATGGAGTCTCTGAACATCTGCCTGCGACCTGTTCACTCGTTTAAACACGTCACAGTGAATCCACTAAATGTGCAGTCAGTGTGTTACACTGCTGCTGGTCAGTGTGTGGAACACAGGGTGGGGGGTATCTCAGATCCCTGGCAGACACCTTGGACCCCCAGAAAACCAGTTTACAGCTCCAGTCTGCACCGAGTTCATATTAACATTCACTAATGACATTTTATCGAAAGCAGGCCCTAAACTGGACTCTGACTCCTGTCTCACAGGAACCTACAGCTGGTTTATGACGGCTGTGTGTGTCCTCACCCTGGTAGCATGTTAGCATGTTGTTCTGTGAGGAAACCAGTCGGCTGGTGACTCATCTAAGGGACCGGAACCACAGTTTTACCCCATGAACTCATTTTCCAGGATCATGTTACACTGTGAGGTCTGAGGAACACACACACATACACATGAACATGTGACCAGCAGCCACCACATCTTCAGTTTTTCCATTTGTGTTATTTCCTCGTCCTCAGAGCTGGACTGGAGTTTCCATGGCAACACACACACACATAGGCCCTTCTATCTTTGTGAGGACCCTCCCTGCCACAGTGCTGCTGTTTTCATGGTCAGGACTCATCCTTCACGCTCCACTGAAACACTGACTTTATTCTTGAAGACCTCAGCTCCTGACCCCGACCCCGATCTCAACCTGGTGCTAACCCGAAGCCTAAAACCAGGTCTGAGCCCTCAAACAGCCCTTTGACAGAGTGAGGATCAGACCTCACGATGGTCTAAAACTCAGACCGGTCCCCGCAGCAGCAGTAGCCATGTAAAATCCATGCAGCCTCATGGTTATTAGTCATTAGACGCTCTGTATGCTCTTGTTCCTTCAGTGGGAATGTTTTGATCTTTAAATCTACTTTTTTCCATTAACACACAAAAGCAAACATGATAAACTCTGTATGAAAACATGAGCGAAACACTTCATCTGTCATATTATGACATATATTATGTTTGAAATGATTTCACCCCACTGTCAAAAACACAGATTTTACTCTTTGCCAGTGATATTTTCTTGTAGAATGACCATTTATAGCCACTTCGCTCTCTGGCTGCGGTGCTGACGAGCCACCGCTGTGAACGTTCACATTCTTCAACAGTCAGAACTGAACTGAACACAGACACAACTAAGAGAAAAAAGCAGATTTATTCAGCCTCATGAGACATGTTACATAACAAAGTCTTTGTGTTTCTGCAGAGAAGGACGTTACATAAAGCCAACAGAAGATACAGAACGGTCATCGGCCCCAGAAACCACACGTCCCTTCATCAGAGCGTCTTGGTGGACGTGAGAGGAGCATCTGGATAGGACAGAAATGTCAAGGTTAAGTGAAAAATGTTTTATGACTGAAAAGCCATAAAACCTCTGATGTTGTCATGACAACATCCTCGAACCCCCAAACGTTTCCTCCAAACTCATGAATGTGGTTTAAAATATCAGTGTTTGGGGGAAATGTGGAACTAGATGATCCTTTATTCTACGAACTCAGACACAGAAATAACTACAGACTCCTCCAGGACTGAAAGATGATCTGTTTGTCTTTTAAAATCGATTGTCTTTCTGTCAAGTCAGTGTCTTGTTCACACTAAATCCATATGTTTGCACATGTTGCTATTCTTGTTTACTTGATGAATTTATCTCTTGTTCACACAACTTACTGGATTTGTACAAATTATCTTGTTTGCTTTCGACTTTATCTTGTCTTGCTCATAAAACATGGTGACTTCTGTTCTAGTTATCTCGTGTCACCTTGTTTATGCTGGTTATTTTCATTCTCACAGGTCTCGGAACCAAAAGCCACAGCCCCCTCCGCAAGTGATATGTGAAACCAAAACTAGTTAAATTATCGACTGTGTGCCGAACCTACTGACATCAGTGGACATCAGAGGAACTGCGGCTCAACAAATGTCAGTCGTGGAGGATGCCGATCGGTTCACATCAGATTATAGTTTATTTAACCCTCAGTAGGTTGTTAGTGATCATGTAAACAGCTGCTGTAAGAGCAAAAGAAAGTAAAAACTACAAGCTCTCAGTCAACCTCTTTCATTAACTCGTGCAGGTTTGGACAGTTGCAAAGTTCACGGTGCCAAAAGTCAGAAACATTTAGTGATCAAAGCTCTTACAGAAGCATTCATACAATACTAATAATAAACAAACTCTGAAAAGTCAGAATCTTTAACAAAAAAAGCATAAAAATAATTTGATGATAAGAAAACATGACTTTGTCAGGGCCAACACAGCTTCAGATTCAGGTCTGGTGTTGTTTGTGCCTGAAGGCGAGATTGAGGGCAAAGTGTTTTCCAGTGTTGTTGGACTGTTAGCTGGCAGGAGGGAAGCCCCAGGTGGAGGGGGTGAGGAGGGAGAGGCAGAGAGGAGCCATGGCTGTGATAAACGGGAGTCAGACTCTGGAATTTGGAGAAAGCGACTGTGCCACAGAACCCGTGGCTTCTGAAAACATCCAACCCTCACACCTCTGGCTGATTTAAAGTATCATCTGGGTTTGATGTGTGTGACGGTGCTGCACATGACCCAGACCTGCAGGCGACCATCACAGCCAAGCGGCGGCTGACTGTTTACACAGCAGATGTGTTGGCATGTCACAGCTGTGAGTAGCACACTAACAACAGCTGCGTTCCAGCCCAGGTACAGTGTGTTTACAGGGACACCCAAGGGAACTGAGCTCGTTTGTTTCACCTGTGATTCTGCTGCTTTGAAAAGGCACATTTCTGTTGCACTGGTTATAAACCTGTGTGTCTTCATGATTGTAAACTTAGACTTTTGAGTTTAGCCTTTAACAAATTACTCTTCCCTTAGTTTACCGTTTATACTGGAGCTGTGTACATAAGCGATCCAAACAGACCAGCTGACTCCACTAAAACCTGCCTCAGGTCAGAGGAGCCGTGTGTCGATCTAACACACTGATGTAAAACACTGACTCGGTTCTGTCACAAGGTGTTTATCACCTGTCATTGTTGTTTACACTAGCAGCTGATTCAGCTCTTTGACTGGGAGTCACATGAGGTGAACTCAGCAGTCCAGTCGGGTGCTAATTAAAGGTCAGGCAGCTCCCAGTCAGAGTAATAAGCTCTGGCACATGAGGTTTGTTGACCGAGGAGGATTGAATGTTTTAGAAAGAGGAGGTGAGGGAGAAGTGTCAGAGCTCCCACGCTCTGAGGAGTCCAGTGAACGCACCACGCTGCTGTCCTCAGAGACATTTTGGCCTCACAGGGAGGAAGTGGCCAGTCACTGCGGTGAGGGGAACACCGTGACTCAGCGGTTTCCATGGCGACGGCGCACGGTGATACAGACAACAGCTGTGTGGGGAAACGGCCTTGGAGAGATTTCCCCCACGTGCACACACAGCTCAGCCCGAGTGTTTGCAAACATCACCACATTAGCCCTTCTTCTTCTTCTTCTTTCGTGTTTGGCTTGATTCCAGGTTTTGGTTTAAGATTTGATTTATTCTCATTTAACACATGGAGCAACTTTTGGCATCACATTTACAGTGATGAACTGTGCTGATAAAAAGCAACAGATCAGCCTGATCGATCCGTTTCACCCGACTGTATCATATTTCTCACTGAGACAAACATCCAGAGGCACAAACTGCTGTAGCCTCTAACCCCAACCCTGATGAAGAGTCCGGTCTGGGTGAGATGTGGAGTTTCTTCAGCAGAGGTCTGGTGCAGAGCCAAAGCTGCCGCTGGCATCCAGCAGCTCTTCTGACCAGTTCAATGGCATCGAAGTGAGTTTTTAAATGAGAACTTTACATGTTTGGCTTTTATTTGAGGCTGATTTTGATATTTTTGGACTAATTATCTAAAACTGTGACTCTTTCAGGCAAATGCATTTTAGATGAATGAAACTGTAGCATGTCCACCAGAATCTGATACATGAAGACTGAAACACTCAGAGCACAATGTCACAGGGACAAAAGTTACATAAAATCTGTAAAACATAAAACTATGTGACTTGTTTTAAATACTTTGTGCCCAGACGGCAGCTAGAGAACGCCCACTCAGGTCTGGAGGAACCTCAGACCTCACAACATGTCTGTTGGTAGCTCATAAAGCTATTGTTGCTGTATTTCTTAATTCGTTTTTATCAAGAATATATTAAACATTTAATCTGAGTCTTACAAATCAACTCTATCCACAAATCAACTTCAACATCAACCTGAACACGAACCCTGTCCCGAAGGCGAGGCCCAGCAGAAATCTGCCTGCTGGCTTCACTAGTGTGCATCCCCACTTCAGTCAATCAGGAAGATAGAAAAAAACAACAGGAGTAGTGACATCAGGAGAAATCACTGAAACCAGTCTGTTTAAATTTGTTAAAATACTAAAACAAACGCAGTAAAACACTCAATACTTGATTTTCCCACCAGACGCAGCATGAAATGTTTTAAAGTTCTGACGATGTCTGAATGTGGAACCCAAAATGAAAATGCTTCCGTCTTAGGGACCCCGAACATCAGACTGAACATCCATTTGGTATCCCAGTCCTCAGTCTAAGTGGTCACATGATCAGAGGAGGAACAAGCACAGAACTTATGTGTAAACCCGACTTGTTATCTAATGGAGGTTTTAAACTGTGTCCTTTTCTCTCTCTGAGTTCAGCGAGGTGGGTCACTAAACCCATGACACACACACACCTGGTTCAGTGTAGCAGAGGTTTGTGGGACTTTCCCATCTCCTAAACTGAGAGTCTTTAGTCATTCAGCACCAGCGCTAGGGCTGAGCAGAGCATTGTGGGAGTTGAAGTCCAGTGATGTCATCACTGAAACCATGAGACCAATGAAAACAGTCTGGGGCCCGGGAAACAAAACAAAAGTGAAAAAATCCTTTAGAAGCTGAAATCAAGAGTAGAGCAGTGAAGCATCTTGAGAAATGAAGTCCACTGAGTAAACACTGCAGAGCAGCTTTCCACCAACATGAGGTTGAAATGAAGCATTGTGGGGAATGTAGTAACATTGGAGCCTAATGTCTCTAAAAAATAACTTTTAATAAAAATTATTTGTCCAACAAACTGGGAAATGTCTTTTTTAACAACACTTTGGAGGCAGTTTTTTTTTCTTAATTACAGACTTTGTGTCATTCAGCAGAAATCCTGAACAGAAGCAGATGGTGTGAAATGGAGTCCAGTGATCTATCACTTTAGTTTAATACTGACAGTGACGCCTCTTCACGTCTTCACATGAACATGAGAACGTCGACACTTTTCCCTGTGATCTAAACTGTTTATATTCATCTTAAATTCAATGATAAACATCTTCCATGATGTTGGCAGTTGAACTAGTGAAGTCCAGAAGCAGAGGAAGGTTTCAAAGGCATGCTGGGAGATGTAGTTCTTTCCTCTGTCTTTGTTTTAAGGGTCAATGCAGAGCTGGTGGTTTATTGAACCAGAGAAAAAGATTTTGAAGAACCTCCCTCAGCTTAACAAGAATCACCTTCTTCACTTGTTCTTGGATGCTTTTTAACGGTGGAGACGAAGCTTCAGTCTTGGTGAGTAAAAACATCTTTAATTTCTCCTGTCACTTCCTTTCACCGTTTAAATAAGTAACAATCCTCCAGGGGGCTTTGTGTTTGTCGGGCAGTTGTTTAGGTCAGGATGGCGCCCACTGCAGCTGGAAGAGGGGCAGTGCTTTGCTCAAAGACACTTCAGCAGGCCATGAGGGGAGTGGAAGCTGCTGGCTGGTGGTGGGATACTGGTCGGGGGCTCAGAGTCTGTCAGCTGGTCTGGGCCCTGAGAAATAACAGACATACACAGAGCGAATGTGTTAAAGGTTTCTGTGCGTGAGCAGCCGTCTACGGCAGTGATAGAGGCGAGTGTTCAAGAGGTCCAAGTGTTTACCAGCTATAACAGGCTGTTCCTGCCGTTCACACTCAGGGCTTTAGACTTCATCTGCTCCTGGACTGAGCCCGACTATAAACGACAAACAGAGAATAATCAGTGTTTGCCTGTCAAGGAAACAGCACAGTCACACTCAGGAAAACAGCCACCACCTTTCATTTGCCTTGACCTTTCCACATTCTTAAAACTAGTTTTAATTAGTTTTTATTTATTATCTGCCTCCTCTATGCAGGACATCATCTAAACAAAGTACCAGAGAACCTCCACCCACACTGACTGACTATCTGTGTACTTATATTTTTAAATATCTGTATGATAATAGTGAGTCTGATGGTACATGTTGTATTACTGTTAACATTTGACTCAGTGTGGAATGTTTTATTGTATCTGTATTTAATTCTGTACACACTGTATGCAGCCTGTGGGTGTGTGGAGCCACGTCAGGCAGTGTGTGTGTGTTACTGGTACATGTAGACTGTGTTCATCATGAGAAAACAGAGTCGGTGATGAAGACCACCTGCTGACTCAGCCAATCACCCACACAGACGACGTCAGACCACTTAACATCAGCTGGTTGTATGTTTTACTTTAAATTTTGCTTTAGCCTATATTTTATTTGTGTAAACGTGTGTGTGTGCGTGTGTGTGGCCAGCTGCAGCTGAGCTCCGTAGATTCAGACTTTAACAGACGAGATGCAGTGAAACTAAAATAAAAACAGAAAGGATGAAGTGCAGCACTTCCTGTCTGACACACACACACACACACACACACACACACCCAGTGTTGAACTGAGGTCTGGTCTGTCAGACTTTCAGCTGGTTTTGTTCTGACTCTGTCAGACCTGAGGCTGTGACTGTGTGAGACACAGAGATCTGGGTCTTTGACTTCAGTCCCTCTGCTGTGTTTCAGGTTTCCACTGAGGCACAGACTAGAGATCCTGATCCTGGTTCAGACCGCTCAGGCACCTCTGCTGCATTTCCTGTCAGCTGTCGCATAAAAGCACCAAATGTCCCCAGAATAGTAATAGAAGTAGGTGAACAGGTGAACACACAGGTGATCAGACAAGTGCGGTGTCTCACCGGCTGCAGTCCCTCAGCCATCTCTCCAGATCCAATGTGCGTGAGGTGGACAAAGTTTGTCGGCTCTCCGATCATACTGCGATCGATCCTCCTCCTCCTCTTCTTCTACACACAACACACACAGGTGAGTAAATGAACAGGTGAAACAGAAAACGCAGTGAGCAGCAAAGAATAATGTGAAGTCTGTGTTTCAGTGCATCTCTGCACATCCACGTACTCTCACACTCACATCACTATTTCCATCACGTTCAGCTGAACCCGAGTTTAACACAGAAAAAGAGAGAAGCAAACATGAAGGCAGTACAGTGATGACAACTCCTCATCCTCCAGTTTTTTTTAATATCCATTTAAACTGCTGCTAGTTACTGAGTCCACTCCGAGTGTTGCACTGTGAATGGACCGTGTCAGGGCGTTGTCGTTCTCCCAGGATTCAGATTAAAAGAAAAAACACCACTTCAACTGTTATGTTAGTAACGTAACAGTTAACACTGTGTTTAATATAATCCTTTGTAAACATAAAGGAGAATTAAAATTAAGAGGGAAAATGGACTATACATGTTAGTACATCAGGGGTAAAAACATACGAACACACCGACATGAACACACCTCGTCCTCCACTGTGGCGGCTCCAGCTCTCTGTGCTACCATCAGGAACACGCTGAGCTCTGGCAAACAGCCAGTGAACGCCTCATTAAAACCCCATTCTGCTCCCAGAGTCCAGTTAATCTTCATGTGTGGACACATGTCCTGATCCAAAACACATCTCAGCCACAAACACAACCATTTACATCTGATTTAAGAGGATTATGTTCCTGGGGATTATTCAGAGCTCTTATGTAAGAAGAGCCAAACACAGTCGGGATGTGCGAGTTGCTCTGTTGGATCACAAGAATCCCGAATAAAAACATCAGACAAGGCAATTTCAGCCAAACATGTTGAACCTCAGGTCCAGTTCTCCACTCTCTGACTTGATCCTGGTAAACTGTCCTCTACTCATGGCATCTACCAGGTTTCATGTACTGTGCCATCGTGAAGCACCTTGAGCTCAGTGTGTGATTCTGGGCTGTAACCAGGAACAGAAACCTGACTTGAATGTGGTCGGTTTAATAAAGTGTGAGGCCCACGACCCCAGATTGGTTGGTTTGTGTCTTCCAGTCTGAAAATCACCTACCACAGCTTCACGCGCTGGCTTCTCCCTGTCTGAGACCTAGCACCTGCCTGAAAACTCCCTGGTATTCCAGGGTTTCACTGGCAGCAGCTGGGACTGATCTCAGAGCAGTTTCATTACGTAACACTGCCAGCCTGCCTGCTGCTCACTCACTGAGCAAATATGAGAACAACAACTCTCCAGGCAACGACTGTGTTGAGCCAGTAAACAGCAGATCTTCATCATCATCATCACCAGTCAGTGAGTCACCAGCAACAAAGCAGAGGAACAGGCTAGAATTTCAAAATAAGAGGCAGAGGAACAATGACACAGATCCAACACAAACAATGATGTGTCAGGACCTGAGAGTCAGACCTCACAGGGGGTACATGTTGGGATCTGTTCACGGTGACTGCTGCTTTCTCAGCTCAGCTCCACCCAGGAAACCGTTTGTCCAAAGTCTTGGTTCCACTGACACTAAATGAACAAAGCAAGCTGTGATGCAATACACCAGGGGCTGAAGATGCTGCAGCTGCATTACAGTGTTCAGGTGACCTGGGAAACGCTGGCTTCAACAAGCAATGAGCAGCCAGAGTGAGACCGGGAACGGTCACCGCCGGCCACAGCTTCTCCGGTTGTTCTCAATCCTGTGCCTACTCAGCACACTCAGACCCCCACCATGGCTGAGAGAGGAGGGTGGGGTTACAGCACTGCATTTACTCCCCATGTATGGCAGCGTTGGAGGCGGAGCCTGCCGTGTCCTACAGTCGAGCTTTACAAAGGAAGCTTCTCTGACAGTGAGGTCACTGCTGGCTTCACTGTGTCACTGTGTGTTTAGCAGCAGAGCATTGTCATGGTGCCACAATAGAACAAACAGAAAACTTAAAAATACGGACAGAGGAAGGAGGGAGGGAGAAGCGCAGCGGGGCAGGACTTCCCCTCCTCAAGTCTACGAAATAGCACAGGCCATTGACCTGGCTGCTCTCTCACATCTGCCAGGCGTGAGCTCCCTTGCTGGTGGAGCTCAGGTCATCACACACGTTACAGCGATGAGTGGTGGCTGGATTACAGAGGGCGCTGAACACTCTCCTCTAAGCCAGACTTCCAGTGCCTCTAGCCAGTTTTCACAAGTCTGTGTGATGACAAGTGGCCAACTCTGTGGCCGTCTCTACCATTAACCCTGTTATGCTCCTACATGCTGTATTAATTTTAGTTTTTATACATGTGAATAAACTTTGTGTGTTTGTATTCTGCCTCACGTTGCCGTTTCACAAGGACAACATGTATTTTGAACTAAAACCAACCATCATACCTTAACCTCGGGGCCCTTGTTGTTGTTACTGCACTAGGTCTCACTCTTGCTGCTCGTTACTTGTTGTCACGCCATAAAACAGTGACTTATCACTGTCCAGCAAACAAACTGTGGATCAGATCAGAATGCTCGGGACCCAGACAGACCACATGTGTCACTGGGAGGGACCGTCATCTGTCAAATGACGTGTGGAAAAGGAACCAAGACAGAAGCAGAAAGGGAAGAGAGTGTCGCTCTGCAGCAGGTCAGGGTTCACAGCGAAACAGGAAGTTCTGACACCTGTTTACTCCTGAGCCTGCCTGGTACTAATCATCTTCTGGGGTCTCGACTTCCTTTAGGGGACAGCAAACAAATCCCTTTAACGTAACATGACATTTTAGGATGAACACTTGGTTTAAGGTTTGTGCAAGTCTGCAGGAAGTAAAGCTGGTGTCCTGTGAAGTGAAACAGGACAGTGTGTGCTGATCTAACAAACATATTTCATGGTTTAAATCAAACTGGTTTCATCAAGTTAAACTTTAATACCGTTCTTAGACAAATCAGTTGGATATGAATAAATTACTCTGCAGGTAACTCTTGTTTTTAAGTGCGTGAAGTCGGCAGCACCTCTGTGTTTGCTGCCGCTGTAGACCCAGACCCTCTGCAGAGGCACATTAGCGGTGCCGGTGCTGCAGGAGTCGGTGCACGGTGGGTTGTGCTGGGGCCTGGTGATGCTCCATGTTAACACACAGCAGCACCGTGTGACGGCAGGTGTCACCCAGTGGCTTCTAACAGCCGTGTGTTTCTCTGATGTCCACTGCGACTCCAGCGCCTTGATACCCAAAGCTCCTGATATCAGCGTTTTCCTAAGGTTTTCCCACACGTGGCGAATGTTCAACATGGCATCAAGACAAATTGATGGGACAAAGTACAAAACGGAGCTAATACACCACAGGCAGTAACACGGGGCCTCCTCAGTATGTCCCCAGAAACACACCACTGAAGTTAATGCGAAATTACAGGAGTAACAACAACAATGTATTTAAGACCCATGAAGCTGTGTGTGTGTCTCACCGGCGGGGGCTTGGCCACCACGCAGCAGCCCATCTTGTGCCAGAAGTCACTCATGCCAACTCGCCGCCTGTCCAGCTGCTGGCCACTGCTCTCTGCTGCCCTGCAGGCCAAATGAGGAACTGCAGCCTGTGGGTAATCCTGGGGCATTCAGGCAAAACAACAGAACCAGCACTGACACACAGGACCAAGACCCAAAATACCCCAGCTCAGACTGAATACTGTCCGACGAATGGCTCCACGAGGGATCAGGCCGGGCAGACTGAATGTCAGCGAGTACTGAGAGGAGTGGGTCGAAAAGTGAACTACCTGGATCCTCAGGCGTAAAACCAGAGAAAAAAAACAGTCACTTCACCCCAGAATGAAACAAATCCAAAATCCAAGGAAGTTTCTGCAGCCAGATGAAAAATAATTTTTTTAAAATCTGAAATTAGTGTTTTTACATCCAAATGCCGACAACTTCAGCACTGCTGGTTGGTTCTGTGGAGACACAAAGGGAAGAAGTTACAAACTCGCCTTTACATTCTCTACCTGACTTTAATTTCATTTGTACATGTTATTTAAGCTGTTTTCAGGCATTTGTGCTCTTCAGATTGAACTTATGGCCACATTCTGTGTCTGCCTGTTCCCCAGCAGGAGCCCAGTATATCCTTTGATTGAAGGAGCTGCACGTGATTCACCGCCTGAGAAACCGGTGCCTGCTTGTGTAAGTCTATGTTTTGTAATCAGGCTGGGCGTGTTTCTGAGGTCTCCCACAAATGAATATTTTAATGTGACAAAGACCAGGTTATTTTATTAAAACTGCTTTCCTGCATGAGCAAAGATCAGTGAGCGATTCCTAAACTTTCCATCAGCCCCCATTTTCTTAAAAGGAGGCCACTTTTCAAAAACTATGTCCAAACTGTGTAAGCTCAGATGTAACCTCACTGTCTGACAGATGTCTTTGCTTTCACAGCGTCCAAACAAGTCCACTTGATGTGGGTCACTTCCTAACAACGTTCAAAAATGTCCTCTGTTTCTAAAAGTGTTGATCTCTAAAACATATATAAATACTAATGAAATCCAAAGTTATGTTCACTTACTTGTTACTTTCCAAAAAAAGTCTTAATCTCCTGTCACTGACCCATCTGTCCACAAATGTTTTAAAAAGCTGGTTGCTTTCTAAAGTTGTTCCAAAGTGTCCTGCTTGTCCCAGAAAGTCCTCACATTCTTATAAATGTCCTCAGGTTGTAAAAATGTCAGTGTCAGTCGGTCGTCACAGAGAGAGAGAGAAACAGCACCGAGCGGCTGTTTCACTGAGCAGCATGGGAACCGAGGCTCTAAGACGTCAGCAGCGTGAAAGCAGTAAGCTGTGACTAAACACTGGGTGTGGTCCAAATACAGCACAGGAAGCAGCGCGCGCACACACACACACACACACACACACACACACACAGGCACGCACGCACATGCACACACTGAGGCTTGTAAAGCTGGAATTAAAGAGTGTTTCTGGCTGTTTCCAATGAAACAACTGAACTGACTTTAACTGAGCCTTTAACACCAACTGCTGGTTTTTATCTGCACACAAACTCTCACAAACACATAAAAATGTCCCTGAAGACCACAACAACAAACCTTTTCATATTGACACACACCCGACCTTTGACCCCTAGCCTGAGACTGTGGGAGGAGGAGACCAATACAAACCGATTAGCTCAATGAAACTCAGTGAGAGGCTCACTTACACAGTGACCTCTGGCTCCTCCCGTTTCCTCCTCTTCATTAGTTTCCTCTGCTCTGAATATTGTCATTAAGATCTTGAACTGCCTCCGTTCAGACGCTCACATTCAACCCAGTGTAGAAAGGCTATGGCCAGCAGACCCGAGGGGCGGCAGGCTGATGGTAGAAACATCATTCAGTCTCAACATTCATCACTGTGCTTCACTGCTGCTTCTGATATTTATGTTGTTTTTTACATACTTCCTGTGACACAACAGGACTTTTGTCCTCGTGTGCTCATTCCCAGAGCTGGTGTTCTGCCCAGGGGCAGTCTGGATCAGATCTGATCAAAGGCCCTACAGTTACATTCCCTAAAACAGGGAAAGCCAAGTCCACCTGGGCTCCACTGGGCGTTTCCTGGTCAAACACAGGGTTAAACTCTGTTTCTATTTTCAGTCTGTTCTGGTCCTGCAGGAGAAAACGTCTGGAGCATGTCCAGCACATTTCAGCACATGATAAAGAAGGAATGCGGGAGGCCGGCGACACACCAGACATGTAGCTTCATGCTTCACACAGAGGAATTCACCTTCACAGCCCAAGGACAGAAACATTCACATCAGCTGAGGGAGGACAGTCTGGACGAACCTCCACTTGTTCCTGCAGGTGTGGTCATAATCAGGCTGCAGAGAAACCACTCTCCTCAGAAGCTGATCCCTGACCAGCAGCTCTGTTCGTGACCTGGCTCTGCTCTGACGCTGTAGGAGCCACGTGGCTGAACAGATCCTGATCCACGTGTCACAGCAGTCAAGTCAAGGATTTTACTGGCTTAAACTTTCTTTACATTTGTCTACACACATACCCAAAAATAATAAATAGAGTCAGGAGCTCAATTGAGGAACACGCAGTACGGTTCTTCAGACATCCAGGAACTAAACCCATCACATCCTGAACCAAGCTCGTCTCCACTGATACACAACTAATCTGCACTGGCAAATATCTGTGCTGCGAAGCAACAGTGCTCCTGAGCCTCTCGTCAGTCCTTCAGCTTGTTCGCTGCTAACAGGAAGACTTCAGGGCACAGCCGATCTGTAATGCACCAGATGTCCTCGTAAAAACTGCCACATTTCAAAAAGGACTAAAATGTTCAGAAAATGAGGGTGCATGTATGAAAATGAGCCTTTATCCAAAGAAGCTAAATCTCTGAGTGAACACTCCTTTTAATCTTTAAATGTCTAAAACCAGCATCTGCATGTCTTGTGTCTGAAACCCAGTCGAACACTCCCAGGTCTGTACCTGGACCACGCAGAGAGAAAAGAGCACTCGGACACAGCTTCATCTCAGGTTCCTGACTCTGTTTAAACCTCACAAGCAGCAGACTGAGTCCACGTGTGAGGACGGCGGACAGGAAATCTGTGAGACCACAACACAGCGAATCACCTCAACCTTTAAGGCATCCCCTCACCCTAGCCCTGACCCAAACCTGGTTCTAACCTGAACCCCAGAAGCCAGGTCTGAACCCTCAAACTGCCCTTTGAAGGAGTGAGGACGGGACAACATGTCCTCACAAAGGTAGACAACCCAGCCTCTGTGTCTGCCATCAGTTTAACTGGGAAATAAAGAGCAGCCTTTTGATCAGCTCAGAAAAAAAAAGTTAGAGGAAGTTTCACAGAGAAAGAGTTCATGAGACTGGACAATGAAATAGAAGTGACCCCAGAGACAAAGACAAAAATACTGACCAGGAACTGGAGCTTTGTCGTGAAACCATACCAACCAAAACACAGAAAGTAAAAGAAAAACAGGAAGCGTGACAGCTGAGGGCAACGACGTCTGCCCTCCTGATCTCAGACCAGCTGACAGTTCAGAGCTGACACTGAAGACACTCAGACAGATGGTGGCCTGGAGGTCACATGAAAACAGTTGATTTTAATCAGCTGAGAGAGGAAGAGAGCGGTTTACACACATCACCAGAAACGGAGCTCCCCTGTGGCGACAGACAGCGACCAGACATCAGTCACATCCTGCACCTCATGGTGTCAGACTGCTGTGACTGGAACTGACACTGGGTCATGTGACCTGCTGTTACAGCAGCTCCCTCTTCACTTCAGTTTCAGCCAGGTCTCTGCCTTTTATCTAGACTGTTGTTAGTTTGCATAACTGCTACACAGCAACTAATCGACACCGATTCACTGCCAGAAAACTATGAAACAACACAATGCTGTCGTCGGCCTGTGTTACAGGAACATCCTCGGTTTGTCTTCTCCCAGTAAACTGAAAACCTTTGCTCAGACACGTTGCTTCGGACCCAGAGACACATGTAAAGAGGCTTTAATGCCTCAAAAGGTCTGACTAATAACAGTGTAACAGTTTGATAAAAGCAGCCCTGGACTAAAGGTCTTCTTCAGACCGACTGGCCTGTTTCTGGGCCACTTCCTCTTTCTGAACCAGACGCTCACATCCTGCCTCAGCTGATCACAGCCTGTTCAGCAAACAGCGGTTTGAGCAAAGACCAAAATGGGGCCACATCCTTTACACAGAGACTCAGAAGCCTCATAGGAAGGTCACAGAGTCCTTGCCTCTGCAGACACCTTTCAACGGGTGCTGTACCAGGTAGTGTTGCTTTCGTCAACGAAAATTATGACTAGATGACGTCGTCAACGAACCTTTATCGCGTGACGAAATCGAGACGAGACGCAACAAAAATGCTGGTCATGTGACGATGACTATAATTAAATATACAGTGGTGTGAAAAAGTGTTTGCCCCCTTACTGATTTCTTATCTTTTTGCATGTTTGTCACACTGTAATGTTTCAGATTGTCAAACAAATTTATATATTAGTCAAAGATAACACAAGTAAACACATCATGCAGTTTTTAAATGAAGGTTTTTATTATTAAGGGAAAACAAAATCCAAAACTACAAAGCCCTGTGTGAACAAGTGTTTGCCCCCTAAACCTAATAACTGGTTGGGCCACCCTTAGCAGCAACAACTGCAATCAAGCGTTTTCGATAACTTGCCATGAGTCTTCCACAGCGCTGTGGAGGAATTTTGGCCCACTCATCTTGGCAGAATGGTTGTAAGTCAGCCACATTGGAGGGTTTTCGGGCATGAACCGCCTTTTTAAGGTCATGCCACAGCATCTCAATTGGATTCAGGTCAGGACTTTGACTAGGCCACTCCAAAGTCTTCATTTTGGTTTTCTTTAGCCATTCAGAAGTGGACTTGCTGGTGTGCTTTGGATCATTGTCCTGCTGCAGAACCCAAGTTCGCTTCAGCTTGAGGTCAAACGGATGGCCGGACATTCTCCTCCAGGATATTTTGGTACACAGCAGAATTCATGGTTCCACTTATCACAGCATGTCTTCCAGGGCCTGAAGCAGCAAAACAGCCCCAGACCATCACACTACCACCACCATATTTTACTGTTGGTATGATGTTCTTTTTCTGAAATGCAGTGTTACTTTTACGCCACACATAATGGGACACACACCTTCCAAAAAGTTCAACTTTTGTCTCGTCTGTCCACAGAGTATTATTCCAAAAGTCTTGGGGATCATCAAGATGTTTTCTGGCAAAACTGAGACGAGCCTTTATGTTCTTTTTGCTCAGCAGTGGTTTTCGTCTTGGAACTCTGCCATGCAAACCATTTTTGCCCAGTCTCTTTCTTATGGTGGAGTCATGAACACTCACCTTAACTGAGGCAAGTGAGGCCTGCAGTTCTTTGGATGTTGTTGTGGGGTCTTTTGTGACCTCTTGGATGAGTTGTCGCTGCGCTCTTGGGGTAATTTTGGTCGGCCGGCCACTCCTGGGAAGGTTCTCCACTGTTCCATGTTTTCGCCATTTGTGGATAATGGCTCTCACTGTGGTTCGCTGCAGTCCCAAAGCTTTAGAAATGGCTTTATAACCTTTTCCAAACTGATAGAGCTCAATTATTCTCTTTCTCATTTGGTTTTGAATTTCTTTGGATCTCGGCATGATGTCTAGCTTTTGAGGATCTTTTGGTCTACTTCACTTTGTCAGGCAGGTCCTATTTAAGTGATTTCTTGATTGCGAACAGGTGTGGCAGTAATCAGGCCTGGGTGTGGCTAGAGAAATTGAACTCAGGTGCGATAAACCAGTGTTTTGACAGGGGGGCAAACACTTGTTCACACAGGGCTATATAGTTTTGGATTTTGTTTTCCCTTAATAATAAAAACCTTCATTTAAAAACTGCATGATGTGTTTACTTGTGTTATCGTTGACTAATATTTAAATTTGTTTGATGATCTGAAACATTACAGTGTGACAAACATGCAAAAAGATAAGAAATCAGTAAGGGGGCAAACACTTTGTCACACCACTGTATTTGGAGCATGTCTGTGGCTCATAAACCACCTGAGGTTTGACCAAGTCAGTTCTGTGACAGCCCGAGGGGCATGGGGTGGGGATCCATAGATTGTGGAGCTTGAACCATAACACAGACCGAGTTGGTCGGTAGCTCGACCTCTGTTACAGAGATTTCAACCTTTTTAAATGTTTTTCCTCAGAGAAGTGTGTTCCTTTAATAGAAAAGGGTCCTTTTAAGGCCACAGTAAACTTGACACAAA